CTCCAAACTCCAGAGAGAACAAGCCAAACTCGGACCTTCAAGATGAGGCTAAAGAGGCACACCAACCTTCCCAATATAGAGCTCTTAGCAAATTCCCGAAATTGCCCTTGTCAGGAATCCACGCGGGCCGCGGGTAATCTTACATGGGCCGCAGGCTTCAACAGGATTTTTGGGCTTCCTTCAAGTCTTGGGCTCCCAAAGCTAATCCATTGGCCCAATTCGGATCCAATCTGTTCGTAGTCCATTTTTCTTGAATATTTCTTCAATTAAAGCCCAATTTGTCTTTCCATATCACTCAAAACTTCCACAAACTCTTAAACATCGATCTTGCACACTCAAGAATTCTCTCGCGCCCTTTCAAATTTAAAGTTCAACACTTCTGCGCCTTCAAGCAATCGACAAGCCTACTCCATGAATCGAATCCACAGCCATCAAACACGAAATCCCCATTGCTCTTCAAGTCCAATCACCTCCCAAAAGTCCCGCTCCGCTAGTTTCCTTAAAATCTGCAATAATGCTCAAGAAACTAGAAAATACCCGAAATGGTCATAAAGATAACAAAAAGGAAAATATGCATGGAAATTAACTAAAATGCGAATGGAATGTGCTAAAAAAAACTATAAAAAGAAGTAAATAAAATGAAGCTATCACAAATTGTGGACTTTCTGCCTTCACATGGCCCTTCTGGCTGCAGCTGAGACAAACCTGAAATCCCTTGGGGAAATAACTAGCCAAATGCCCCTCCTTGCCACAGAGGTAGCAAGCTGACCCCGACCGACATGATCCCTCGTGTCCCTTGCCACACTTCCCGCAAGTGCGTTCTTTCTGGCCTCCAGCTCTCTGATCCGCAGGCTTGGGCTGCTTAGTCACCGGCTGTGACTACACATGCCTCCTATCTCTCCCTTGGGTCTCCCTCTCCTCCCTAGTCTGAGTCTCCATCTCAATATCTCTCCTCCTGGAATTGATTTGTAGATAAGACTATGTATGATACGTGGTGTTTTCCACCACTTAGCATCTACATACTAATTCTAGAGTGCTCTCAGTACTACTCTGCCTCATAAGATCTCTGCTGCCCTCGCCATTTGCTTCGCGTGTGCTAATTGTACATAATAAGAGACTTAATAGACAGTTGAATAAATGATTCTTCCTCAAACCCACAACCAAACAAGGAAGAGGAAGAAAGCCTAAATCAGACATTCTAAGGCTATAAAATCCTAACTATGTACAACTATTTAGTATACACAAAGCAAGTAGTAAGGACAGATTCAATCTCACAAGAACGAACTCCTAGGCTAAGGAATCACAAATCAAGTAACTTTATCATCCTATTCTTGCAAGATTCCTTAGCCTACCACTAACTAGCATGCAATTCTATCAGCTCATAGTATAGATATATTTGCTATGCACTACTCATAATATAAATTGTGGTATTTTGGGAAACTACCGCTTGAACGTTGGTTGATTGTACACATTGCTTTTCTGGGTTTTCCTCCTGTAAAAATCTTCACTCCTTGTTAAGTTTTTAAAAAATTTTATATCCTTAGTTTAAGTTTGAAATCACCTAGAGGTTCATTCAAATTCTTCAAACCAAGGCTCTGATACCGAATTATAACACCTCAAATTTTAGATCAAAATTTTCATTTTTAAATTACCAAAATCAAATTTTCACAACCAAGTTATCAAATACATAATTATCCTAAAACAACCAATATCATAATTATCAGAGTTCATAAACATGACCCAGTAGTAAATCTCCTAGCATGCGTGTACAATTAGATATTCGCCTTCCCGCGATCCTGTGAAGTACCTGCCACATATAAATCAACAACTGTAAGAACAAAGTTTAGTGACTTCCCCAAGATACCACATACAATATAGCATAACATAAAAGAAACAACTATGGGTTATTGGGTTATTCGCAACCCTGAGGACTATCAATAGTCCCAACGGGCTAACAACATGCTCTGTGGGTTATCAGCAATTCTGGTTGGCTATCAACAGTCTCAATCACATATAAATAGCATAACATAACCATAACAGCTAGAACCAAGTAGTTATCGTAAATAGAACTATCCTACTACATGTGTAAGAATAAGTGAGGAGACTCACCTGCTACTGACGACATGAGAACCTAGCACTCGAACTACTGGATCAGCAAAATGACGAGGTTGGGACCGATTATGCGAGGTGTAGCCAGGAGTAGGGTGAGCAAAAACCGCACCGCAACTAAAAGTAACTGCAAAAACCGCATAAACTGCAACTGATAAACCGCAACCACAATAAATACCGATGGTGAGGTTTTCTTTTTTTCAAAAACTGTAAATTTGCAGTGTGGTGTGGTTATTTGTTTTTTAAAAAACGCACCTCACCGCATATATTATATAATTTTTTAATTAATTATTAATATATTAGATATTAAAAATAAGATAAGTTTCATGAGTGAAATAAGGATAAAATTCTAGGAGACAAAAGTGTTTAATTTTTTTTTTATTTTTAACTTTAGAAAATGGTTAAATTTGACAATTTTAAGATGTTTATTGTTAATTACTAGTGATTTGATGTTTTTAAGATATTTGTCTTTTGTGATTTAATTAAGTTAATTGTCTTATACATTATGGTTTTTATTACTACAAGTAATATGTTTGAACTCTTAAAACCGTTTGAACTCTTAAAACCGTTTGAACTCTAAACAGCGGTTAAAAACTACAAAAAATAATCACACCAAATCCATGCGGTTAGTAACCGAAAAACAAAAAAACAAAACCGTACCGCAAAAATAACCGCACAAAGCGGTTTTGAAAATGGATTAACTGCATTTGTGGTTAGTGGTGAGGTTTTGACCAATAACCGCACCGAACCGCACCACACTCACCCTTAGCCAGGAGTACGCCCAACGTACTCCGTCTGTTCCCATTTCTACCAACTTGTGTCTTAAACCCTTAAGACAATTACTCCCAAACATAGATCCGACCATTCTAAGACGTCTAAAATCATAAAGCTATCAACTTTAAGTATTTGCACGGCTAGAAAAAGTCCCAAAGCCACATTCATAAACTCCAAAAACATTCTAAGCTTTTTGGCTCATGCATGAACAAAAAGAGGTGATCAAGCTACCATTTTTATGAATCCATAAGTCCCATAATACATGAAAGGACAAGTACAAACTCCTGGAGTGCCCGGAACTCATAAAGGTCCAATCTTTGGGGACAAAACTCTTAAAACTTCAAACATAGAGATCTAATGAAAGACTTGTCAAGGTACAAACTTTATAGTTGAAAATGTTGCACAAGGAGGGGAGATTTCTGGATCTACAAGCTTGCTAACACCCACTTCTTCTTCTCAAGCTACCTTCTTCAACTAAATGCACCAAAAACACCCAAACAAACTTGCAAGGCTCACACGAACACTTAAACTTGAGATTAGGGTTTAAGGAAGGTTTGGAGGCTGATAAGGGTGATCAAAAAAGCACTTAATGTTCTTTATGTAGGAAGTAACCCATGAAATTAGGGTTTGGAGTCTGGGCTAGTATGCTCAACGTACCACACGTACACCCAACGCACTAGCTGTCCATTTGTGCTTATGCACACTACATGAGTACGTTGCACGCACTCATATGTATGCCCTGCATACGACCAAATCTAAGAGACTTTTTCTTCAAGGGACCAAACGTTTCATTTTTTGATAAAATTTCAAGAGATAACAAACATACCTGATTTTCGGGATGTTACAATTTAGTCCCAACTTACTACGCATGTCACATGAGAGCTTCAAATACGTACTAGTATTGTAGGGGTACCACATCAGTGTGTTGTGTGGGGGATTTTGTATGTCGTTTTTAGAAATGTTGACTTATGACCATACAAAGTTCCATCGTTAATTGCTCTATGCCATAGTGTCGACGTTACACACAAATACTGTGAAGAATGTGTAACATATAAACATCTAAGGTTTTTGAACTGATGTTTATTTGAATACATGTTTTGTGTTGAATGTTTAGTTTTAAAACAATGATCTATGAAATATAAAACAAATTAATTAAAATGTAAAGATTACTACAAATACATACAAGGGCATTTTAGTTCGAAATCATACAAAATGGTCATGTTGAGAATCGCTTTAAAATTTGGTTGAAAGTAAATATGTAGGTATTTCATATGGTTATTTTGGTGATTATATATAGAAAATAAAATTACGAACATAATTAGTTATACATGTTAAATAGAAGCCAAATATTAGTTTATTTGAACATTATAATATGCAACCTAAAACATTAATAGAAACTATGGATAAATAAAATTATCGATAAATTTAAGTTTTTAATAATAAAAATAGAATTAATCAAATTTATTTGTTTTAAAAATGATTTAATATGTTGATTATATAATACGTTGTAACTAGTAATATTATGGGATAATGTTACTGTAGCACATGAAACTTTCATCAATTGGCTAATTTGGTCCTTAAAGTTTTTTTTGGTACATTAGGCCAGTAAACTCGTAAGTGACCTTTTAATTATACCTTTTTATCAAGTTTTAGAAGGTTTCCCGGTTGAACTTTAATATATGTGAATTAATATATATTTTTTGTCTAATCCAATGCCACATGAGATATGCCACGTCAATTAATGATAGCTTAAATCCTTTCGTCTTCAACTATCGAACTTCAGTCGTCTTCATTAATCAACTGTAAAAGAAACCGAGTTAGGGTTTGTGAAGCATCCTGTGATCGAGCTGAAGAAACAAAGTAGTAGCAGCAATGGCACAATCGGAACCTAATGGATTGTTTACGATGGTGGAACTGAACTACCAAGGGGTATTTAATCGAAATCCTTTCTCTTACACTGGTGGTGTGAAAAACCATGTTCACTGATGTTGACTTTTCTTTTATGACTTATTATGAGTTTGTTAACTTCTTCGAACGTTTCATGCATGAAGAGTGTAAAAAGTTTTACTACTGTGAACCAGGTAATTCCCTGATGGAAGGGCTTAATCTCATTTCAAATGATGTGGAATATGCTGCTTTTTATTTTTGATGCTTATGGAACAAATGGTGTAATTTTGGTTTATGTGGATCATATTGGGGCTGGTGTTGATGGGTGGCTTGATGATGAAGATAAGGATGATGATGAACATGAGTCTTGTATTGATGGTGAAAATGAAGACAACATAGATGAACTTAGAAATGTTGCCTTTGAATTTAATGAGGATGTAGTGCATATGAATAGGAAATCAAATGATCCTTTCTTGAGTAAGTTATGTGTTGATGATGAGGATGAAAACAACATTGTAGATGATGACAATGGGAGAGAAGTTGAAGTTAACATACAAAATCATTCCATATTTAATGAGCTATTACACTTGGAAAAACAAAAACCAATTCTAGGGATGAGATTTAAGGGTTGAGGGCAAGTAAAATCAATGTTGTGTTACTATGCTGTAGCTAATGGATATTAATTGTGTTTTGAAAAAAATGATAGGACAAGACTTTTGGTGAGTTGTAGCAAGGGTGCTTGCACATTTAGATTATGGGCTTCCTGGATCAGTGATGAAGAGAGTTTCCAAATCAACTCACTAAAAGCTTATCATAATTATGTTAGGAACTTCAAGTTCTGATCATTGGTGACATATGCATGGATTGGGAGTCACTATACCAAAGAGATTGTAGAAAGTCAGAAAATAAGTGTAAGGAAGCTTAGGTTAAAGGTAATGGCCAAGTTTGGTATCCAAGTTAGTATGATGCAAAGTAGAAGAGCAAAGAAGTATGCACTGAACGTTGTTGAAGGTAGCCTTGTTGAACATTATGGTAAGCTATGGTCATATGGTCATGATATTTTAAGGACAAATCTTGGGTCAATTGTGAAACTAGATATGGAGGATGGTCCAGATGGAAAGAAATATTTTAGCAAGTTCTATTGTTATTTTCAAGGAGTTAAACAATGTTAGATTGAAGGGTGTAGAAGGATAATTGGTTTTGATGGATGTTTTCTTAAAGATGTTTGTAAGGGAGAATTGCTTTGTTCTATTGAGAGGGATGCAAATAACAAGATATATCCTATTGCTTGGGCAGTGGTTAATGTGGAGAACAAGCAAAATTGGAAGTGGTTTTTAGAGCTTCTCATTGATGATCTAAACTTGAATTTAGGTAATGGTTTCAGTTTAATATCATACCAACATAAGGTTAGTATTTTACATAGTAATGCATTTATATTTATTTTACACTATCTAAATCAAACCTTTGTATTATTTGAATTAAACCTTTGTACTACTACAGGGTTTGATAGAGGCTGTTAAAGAGTTGCTGCCATATGTAGAGCACATGCAGTGTGCTAGACATATTTGCAGAAGAGATTTACTGGTGCCATATATCATACCTTGTTTTGGAGAGCATCTAAAGCCACAACAGAGCATGCTTTTAAAGTTGTGATGAAGGAAATTGAGACATTGAACCCAGATGTCCATCAATATCTCATGGAGAAAGATCCTAAAACATGGTCAAGAGCTTTCTTTCAAACTGGAAGGTGTTGTGATGTAGTTGAAAATGGGTTCTCAAAAAGTTTTAATGTTGTAATAGTAGATGCCAGGAAGAAGCCCATAATAACCATGTTAGAGGAGATAAGATTATACATGATGGACATAATCTACAACATGAAATTAAAGCGACAACAATGGGAAATCATATTTGTCCAGAGATAAGGGATAATGTGAATTTGCTTAAAAAAGCTCAAAGGCATTATTAGGTACTACTAAGAAGAAGAAATCCACTACAGAGAGTATAGGAACACACAGGTTTTCTAAGGTTGGAAAGAAATCAGATGTAGTATTTGCAAGGAGATAGGTCACAACAAGGCCAATTGTCCACAGAGAATGCCCCAAAAGTTAAATGTGAAGAAACAGAAGAAACAAAAAGTTTGTGTGAAGCAAAATGCAGGACAGGTAAAACAATTTAAAATTTAAATTTATTTACATATGATTTGTTACTAACATAATTATATCATGCCGTATAGAGTAGTATAAGTGAACCACAACAACATGAAGAGGTTGAAATGACTCCAATTGAGATGGATACTACTCAAAATGATATGCAAGTTACTCCTACTGATGTTGAATCTAGTAGTGCAGGGGATTTTAGTCATTATATGCAATTTACTCCACCTAGATGTTATGAAGGTGATGAGGGTGTTATGGGTGAGGAAGCTGATGTGGTTGAGGAAGTTGTTGTGGTTGAGGAAGTTGTTCAAGATGAGGAGGCTGAGGAGGTTGATCTTGTTATCCAAGTTGATAATGTAAATGTTTAGGAGGTTGATGAGGTTAATCCTAATGCCCAACTTGATAATGTTAATGTTCAGGAGGTTGCTCCTATTATCCAAGTTTAGCAGGTAAGTGTTAGGTCAATTTCAGAGATTTTGAAGAGGATAAGGAGAAGAAAGTCAGAGAAAATATTGAAGCTGAAATTAGGCAAAACAATTAGTGGTGTTGATGATCCACGAAATTCGAAGGGAAAAGCTCTTGTAATTGATTAGTATTTATTGTAATTTGTATTTAAACTTTATGTAATAGGATGATGGTATATTGGATTTAAAGTTTATGTAATAGGATGATGGTAATTTATAATTAAAGTTTATGTAATAGGATGTTGGTAATTTATATTTGAGTATGTATGAAAGAAAAGGGTATTTTGGTTATTTAAGTATGTATGACAGAAAACAGTATTTTGGTCATTTAAGTATGTATGACAGAAAATGGTATTTTGGTCATTTAAGTATGTATGACAGAAAAAAGTATGTTGGTCATTTATTTATGTATGACAGATAAGGGTATGTTGGTAATTTATTTATGTATGAAAGAAAAGGGTATTTTGGTCATTTAAGTATGTATGACAGAAAAGGGTATGTTGGTCATTTAATTATGTATGACAGAAAAGGGTATGTTGGTCATTTAATTATGTATGACATGAAGTATGAAAGTATGTTGCCTTTTTAAGTAAAATCATGACATTTGGCTTTGAATATTTATGCATGGAAAAAATTGGAATAATGTGCATGCATGGGGATGTTTTATATGGTCCCAGATATGGTTCTATAATGGCTTCATAGGTCCTATTTTTTCATTATTAAAACACCAACTGACTACAAATGGTCCCCATACACATAGTGTACTTCCACATGGACCACTTCCTAATTTGTTTCCAAATTTAAAACATGCACAACAACCAATCTAATTAAATATATTTATTGGGAATACAGGCCATGCGTATGTTTGATTAACATCAACATCTGATTATACAAAATGCCCTACAATTGGGACTTTGAATATTTTTTTTACATTACTTATCATATGCCCTTTCATTAGGGACTTACCACCTTACAACATCAACACATTAAGGTTGATAACCCCAACTTATAACTAAAAGCAGCTTCAATACATACAAAATGCCCATCATTATTGACTTTCTAGTATGCCTTTACAAAAAATACAAGGGATCCCAAAAAAACAAAAGCTTACACTAACCAACCTAACTAACTACAATCATCCCCTAACTTCAAAACACATAGGGCCAAGCAAGCAAACAATAGGGCAACTATCATCTTGTACTTGCCTATTGCCTTCCTTGCATCATGAACTTATTTATCATTCTTTGCAACCTTATATACTGCTCCTGTGATAGCATAAACTCTACTTCAGCAATCCTTCTCCTCAATTTGTTCATCTCAGACAGTTCCTCTTTGGTATCCAGTTTCTGCTTCAGAGAATATATCAGGTTTTTGTAGTACCCGTCTGCCTGTTATTCATCTTTCCATTCAAAGAAGCTACATTTTCTCAACCTAGTCTATAAAAAGCCAATAAAATTAGGGGTTGATTGACAATCACAAATCAACTACCTTTAATGTACCAACGAAATGGGTTTTATTCACAGTGATCGTCAAGAAGCAAATAAAATTAGGGTTTTTAACAGATGGAACAAAATACAAATACACCATTATCGTCTTTACAGAAAGAAACAACAAATCAAACCATAAAATACTAACTTATCAAAATCAAGAGAATCGGGACCTACCATACTGTTTTGACAATTCCAGAATCGCCTCCCAGGGTTTGTTATCTTCCAATAGGTTCGTTCTTTAGTTGGAACGACACAATCACAAACCTTTACCCCTTCTTGTGACTGAACATGAGTGACTTGTAGCTGATTCCTTGATGTCGATGAGCTCAAAGACATTCTTCTTCAGGACGGAAATAGTCAGGGATGGGGAAGTCTTTGACTTTTCAGAGAGGGGTAAGTAAAGATTTAATGGAGGTCTGAATGAGGGTTTGAATTAATAAGCCTATATCGACAACTGGACTTCTTCGACACATAGCTTCCCACGTGAGCTTATTGGACACATCAGCGTGCCACATAAGCATTGTAACCGGGAAACCTTCTAAAACTTGATAAAATGGTGTAATTAAAAGGTCACTTACGAGTTTACTGGCCTAATGTATAAAAAAAACTTTAAGGACCAAATATGCCAATTGAATAAAGTTTCATGTGCTACAGTGACCTTATCCCTAATATTATCTGTGTATAATGATAAATTTTGTGTGTATAAAGAAAAAGTTAATCATAAACTACTAATATCATCCCCTTTTGCTTGAAATTAGTATTAAACGTGTCTAAAATTTTGTCAAATGCTAAATTCTTTTGTTATATGTTATGGAAAATTTGTAAAAAATAAGGTTTGGAAAAAATTTGAAAAAAAAAAATAATTGGTCCAAAATTGTAATTTACGATAAAAGTACATTTAGTTATAGCATGAAAGTGCATTCCTTAAGGTGCACTTTTAGTTTTATTTATTTATTTATTTATAAATAATTATGTTAAAAAATAGAACTTTTTTAACGTATTTTTACTACACATGCATAAAATGAATATGTAAGAAAGTAGAAGTTGATTTTTGAAAAAAATATATTTGTAAATACAAGGAAAATCTTAAAATACATGTATCAAATAGAAGATCTAAATCTTTGTAAAAAATAACTTAAAAAAAAACTACTTTTATAAAAATAATCTGATAAAAAAATATTAAAAAATTGTAAAAAATATTTTTTGGAAAATACAAAAAAAGAATTAAAAATATTTATAATAATAATAAAGGAATTTTAGAAACAATACATACAACACGAATCAAATTTTAAGTAAAATAACTAATTTATAAAAATGATTTAATAGTTGTAACAAAATAACTAAACAAGCGAAGTTTTAAGAAATATATATAAAAAAAAAAAGTTGTAAAAAACATTTGGAAATTTTTCTAAAAGAAGATTGGACCAATATAGATAAAAAAAATGGTTAAAATGTAAAATGAGAAAGTAAGGTACCAATTTTGCAATAAAGGATAAATTTACAGTTTAAATGGATAAAATAAGATTTGACTAGGGACGAATGACTATGTATAATCTGTGCTTCTTGATCAGTGACATATTTAAGGGTTCTATTCCCCGTATATATCTCACTCGTACTCATAAGGAGATACTACCCAATGACCCACATAACAAATTTTAGGTTTACCCATTACCCTAAATCGTTATAAATAACTAGATATGTCATTTAACACGTAATTCAGACAACATTAAATAATTTGCACATAAACATATATTAAATACATTCAATCAATACTTGTATTAAAATCATGTTCTTGAAAGGGACTAGGCACTCACCTGAAAAAGGTGGTAATTCTGCCTTCGAACAACATTTCATTATCTTAAAACAATTATCCCTCGATAAACCTAGTATAAATATCACTAGGGTTTAGTCTAATGTTAACCGCGACTAATTAATAGTCTAGCTATTATTATTATTATTATTATATAAGCGTTAAACAACACTCTATATAACTCATAATAATAGCCCAAATAATTATTTTAAAGACCTAATAACGTTACTATAATTATCTAAAAGTTATATTAAAAATTGTGTAGGCGTAGCTCACTTACAGCGGGTTTTAAAGAAAATCGAACCTTACTTGGAGCAACGTTTCCGAACCGAAAGACCCTTTTTTTCTCGGGACTCCGGGAGACTCGGAGCTTCCTTAGCGTGTTAGGGGATCACCTAGGCTTAGGGTGTTAGGGGATCACCTAGGCTTAGGGGAGAGTTAAAACCCTTAGAGAGAGAAATTGGTGAGAGAAGAAATGAAGAAAGGTGTGAATTTTTCGGAAGGGCTCGCATCCCTTTTATAGGCCAGCATCCTCGGATTTACGCTGGGCGTAGCTTCGGATAAGGCTCCAGCTCATATACAGCTGGCTCACAACATCGGAAGAGATAAGGACAAGGGTACGCTGGGCGTACCAAACTCGGACGCGGGGCGTAGTGAAGCAAAGCGACGTGGCGTGATCTTAGATGGCGCATCGGACGGTTGTGGCTCGGCCACGTCATCAGGTTTGCACCAGGTTTCGCAAATCCGATTCCCAACTTCAAAAATTCGTATCTTCCTCATACGAGCTCCGTTTTCGACGTTCTTTATATCCACGCGAAGGCAGGAACGTACTCTACAACTTTCTTTTAGACTCCGTCGGTTAAGTTTGACTTTATTTTAAAAGTTATAGTATTAACAGGTCAGGACATGATTGATCCGTTAAATTCTCATAACTTCTTCATCCGACGTCCGTTTTCGCCCATCTTTTTCTCGTTACGCTACTCTTAACGAGATCTTTGATTCTTGTTTAGGTCATGTCAGCTAAAAACCGCTCGATCTATTATTCGAATTTCAGGTTGTATACTGCTTAATCCGAAACTTCGAAAAATCATAATTTCCTCATACGAAGTCAGATTTGGGCGTTCTTTTTATCGACGCTCTCAGTTTAAAGAATTCTATGACTTTCGTTTAGGTCACTAAGGCTAAAACTCACTCTATCGTAAATTCACTGTTTACGCTTCCCGGTATTGTACCGGTTCCGTCGCGAAACTTCAACGTGTTATAACTTCTTCGTTATAACTCGGATTTCGACATTCTTTATATGTATGAAAACCTTGAGACATATTCTACAACTTGGTTAAGATTATTTATTCTAAATAATATTTTTCCGAAAAGTTGCTTTCGACACTTATTGCCTCTAAAGTAACTAACATGGATCTGCGGACATTACAATTGATGGGTTTTAGCCATAAGAACTTTCCTATGTGTGCATGCAAAACCCTAATGCTCGGATCTAGGCTTTCTAATTAAACATGCTTTGAATCCAAGACTTCTAATGGATAATTAGGTTAAATAACAACATTGAAACAGATCTAGAATCATACCTTTGAGTTCCTTGTTGATCTTGTCATCTTGGAGCTTCTAGAGTCACAAATATCACTCCTCTAATGGCTTACAAACACCAATAGCAAGCAAGATGATTTAGGAGAGAAGAGAGGGGAGGAATTCGGACAGAGTATCTCTACTTTAGATGGTGTATCGAATTCCCTCACCCCTAGGGTCTATTTATACTTGTAGACTCCTTAAGGGTTACAACCTAAACCCTAATTGGATAATCTTCTCTTAAGGCT